TAGGAGTATTATCTGGAAAGAGGTTTTCAATGTACGTTTTTGAAAACTTGTACCGTGGAGCATGATAAGCAGAATATAAAATAATATCATCGTTGTTTATTCTTATTTTTATGGCTGTAATTTCTAGGTTATTCATGTGAGGTAGATACAATGAGTGATGAGCAATGTTTCTTTTAACCGCAATGGCAACTCCACCAGACGCTCTAGGCGCATCCCTGTCTGATCTGTAAACGAGATAACCTGGAATTTTAAATTTTTCCGTTGATATCAGATGGGTTTCTGTGATACAAGCAATGTCAATTTTATTTTGAGCTAGAAAAACAATAAATGAAGAACGCTTTTCCTTTAAACCATTCGCATTCCAATTAAGTATTTTTAAGTTATTCACTGGGTGTAAATTATAATCCATTCTGGAAAATAGATGTTACTAACTGAGAGATGAACGATTTAATTTGAGGGAGGTAAGGTTTAACTAGAGATAATAGTGATTTTAAAATAGGGTGAAGAGAGTCGTGTTCTGAGTTTTCAGGTTCAGGATGGGGAGTTTGTGTTTCAGTACGTTTATGTTTCGATCCATTTGTAACATTGGCATAAGTTTTGTGTGGGGTAACAAAGTTTTCGCTTTGAGAACTTGCTGGAGGATTGCGGTTTTTGGTTGACAAAGCAGGAAAATGAGTACTACTAGAGTTGTATTGAACTTGATTATGGCTGACTTCCGTTTGATTGGTTGTTGGTTGATTTCTTTTGCTGATTGCTCGTGTCTTAAGGCTGAGGTAGTAAGGGCAACCACGATAATTAGCTGTATGCGACTCATTACAGTTAACACACTGGACTGGATCTTCTCTCTTTTTAGGACAATCTGAAAATAAATGGTTTCCTGTACATTTAACACAACGGGGATCAAGTTTGCAATAGTTTTTAGTGTGTCCATAGCGTTGACAGCGAATACACTGAGGGATGGCTTTAGACTTTCGCTTTAGTTCAATCTGAATTTTTGAATGGAAAATAAATTCAAGGCCGAAAATGTCATTGCCAGAGCCGGAGTCCTCGAGATCGATGGCACAAAGAGGTATTGGATATTTATTTTTGTTGTATAGCCTAGTAACTTTAAGAACTGGCAGATTCATTCGTTTAAGTTCTGTGTGAATTTCTTCGTCAGAAAGGGAGATTGGGACGTTCCGCATTATGACAGAGAGACGTTTGTTTTCAGGAGAACAAAAAGAGTGATATTGTACTTTTAAATTGTCAAAATGTGCTGTTAGTGCACGGAAGTCATCGGATGAAGACACATTTTATTTTGATGGTACTACCTTTGTTCACGGTAAAATAATTTTGCGTTAAGACTTTGTCAAGATCTGCGATCAAAGCTTGATAATTGTTCGAGTCATGAAGAAAAATGGGTGGAATGCGACATTTATCAGAAGAGTTAGGAGATTCGTCAGTTTCGTCATTGTCGGTAGTGGATGCTAAAGGACTAAACCTGTTTTGTATTACTGTTTTGTATCGCTTCGTAGTGTGTTGGAAGTTGGAAGATGATGATTTAGCTTTCTTATTGGATACTAGTTGAAATTCACTTGATTCTTGGTTGTTTTCTAGTTCCATTGTGCTAACTTCTAATTGGTGTGATGAATTTGGGAGGAAAATTTTGTTTGGTGGTGCCGATGAGTAGTCTAAAATATGATGCTTACCATTGTTGACTGTAGAGATATTTTGACTTGTTGATGCGTAGCTATGGTCTTCACAATAGGTTAGAATTGGAGGTTTCAAGACAGGGTTCGTCCCGTTCATTTAATGTGTTAACTTATATGAAATTTATTGAAAGTCCGAAAGAAACACACAAAAAGTAACTAAAAAATAGAAAAGAAACACTTCAAAAGAAAATCAAAATTATTTTAAAAAGTAAAAATAGGGAGAGCAAAAAACAATAACAACCGTTATTAACCGTATCATCAGCTGGATCATAAAGAATCTGTTGGGAGCATAACCTGTACCTCTTAACCTCTGCTCTTCGAACTGTCAAATTTAAGTATTTACAGCTGACTTAAATTAATTGATATATTTACATTCTTTCAAAATGTAAACATGGAAAATTTGGAAGCCCATGGAGCGTAGCCCAAGGGAAATATGAAAATTAAATGATATAATATTGCATCATCATCCATTTGTGTTGCGTCAGTGTTAAATAAAAGAATAGTTTTCATTTAGTTGTCTTTTATTCACAATTAGAATTAACACAAAACTCATAACAACAAATGTAAATAATAATTATTATCCATCTGAACTGAGACAGCTGACTTTTAAGAAAGGTATATAAAAAATCCTACAATCTCCAACGCTTGAAGGTTTGCCTAGGCAACATAATCTTTAAGTAGAACAGAACGTTTCTTGTTCCTGTTGGATCTCCGGGGACTGGTCTGTCTTGATAAATCTGGGTTTGTAGAGGCTGAGTGTCTTGAGGATAATGGGGATTGATGGTGGTCGTCTATTGTAGTATTTGGATGAAAGATTGTCTCAGCTACATTATTTGAATCTTTATTAAAATGATTAGAATTTTTAATAATAACAATTTTACCTCTAGGTTCGGTCGATGATGGTTGTGCAATGGTATTGGTAGGTGGTGGTGACTTAGTAGGGGTGTACCATCTAGTCTGTGCACGATCTCCCACGCTTGAACTTCTTACTCGCATTTTTGGTTGGTATCCTCTTGAGATTCCGTTTTGGCTTGTAGTGGTATTTGTTCTTGAAATGTTCTTGAATTTTTTAAATTCTCTAGGTCATGGAGTTCTTTTATGGAAGTTTTTGAAGAAGATAAAAGTTAAGACTTTATCACTTAATGAAAATGTAACAGGGCGTTCTTTTATAAAAGTTGGTTTGAAATTTTCACTTGGTTTTAGGGAACAAGTGATACTAGAAATGCATTCTGGCTTGAATATCTCAGCGTGCCGGTACTTCTGTTCATCAATATTTTGAACTGCAATCATTTCGTTTGATCAAAATGTATCTTGAGGGTTGAATTCCTGGCCGATCTTTCCAAGTTCTATGCCAAATTTTCTTATCCATGTACGACCAAAGATTGGTTAAAATCTATCAGGAACTACAAAAAGTTCTTCTTTCGATGTTTGATTGTTGCATGTAACTTCAACTTCAGCTATGCCAAGTGGTTCAAATATTTCGGATGTGTAAGATCAGAAACGTATGGATGTTGGTCTTAGTATGGCTTGCAAATGAAGGTTCTGCAAGGTATAGGTTCCTGCTCCCAAGAGATTCTAAATATAAAACAAACATTTCAAGGTAAAGATAAAACTTCTGATTACAGATAATAAGGTTTTGGTTATGTATTAATAGGTCTTATAAAATAGATTTGACATATTTACACAAATATGTGGAGAGAATAAATACAAGATTTAAAACTATAAATGTGGGGAGCATGCAATATAGATAATAATAGTTCAATAGGTGAAGGTAATTGTAAATTAGCTATTGCATGCGCCTCACGTTTTTTGTTTTAAATCTTTAAAGAATTTATTCTCTCCACATATTTATAAATTATTTTCAACTTTTTAATGTGTTTAAAAATGTGGTATTTTTAAAAAGTGTTTTTATTTATAAATTATTTTTTTGTTAATTTTCTTTTTGATCATATTATCATTCATTTTACTTCTATATCCATTTTTTTCCAGCTAGATACTTTATAGTGTCGACTTCTTGCATGAAATTTTCTTTATTCTAAGCAACGTTGATTAGCCTGTGTATTAGGGAATGAAATGTTGCAATTTTGTATGTCCATGGAAGATTGGAATTTCTTGGAATTATTATGTCTGTAGTTTGTGGGTTTTCTTAATATGTCAAATGAATGTTTGTTGTTTCATTTACTCTATTTGGACGATTTCCAAAATTCCAATCAGGGAAGTCTTTTTTTATCACCATTAACCACAAGACCAAAGTTACCTTAATAAACCAGTATTTATTCACAAACAATTTATATGTTTGCTGCCATTAGCAGAGTTAAACTTATGTTCGAATGGTTTATTGACAATAATACCAACAAAGGCAAACAAAGACAAACAACGAACTGGTTTTTACACAAAAGATATGGTGTAAAGGGATATCTATTCTAACACATAAATAATATATTTCTTAGTTTGTTTAAATATTATTCAGCATTTTAGGGACTTATGTCCCTACAAGCCAAGTCCATATATAAACCCCAAAGTACCCATGAAATTTTGAGAAAACTACAAGTCACACCCCCATAAACCATATACTGTACTTAAAATGTTCGTCATGACGAGAAACCTTGTGCAAAACTATCCACTATTTCAGAAAATGTCCATTATCGTAATTCTTTTCTAAAGGGAACTTTCCATATACCTAATGTTAAAAAAACCTCAGCTGTACTTATTTCTTTGTTATTCTTTCAATGTATTACCTTTATTAAAATCAGGTGTGATTATTTGTTTGTATTACTGTATTCTGTTTTGTTTATTTCAGCTTAACTTAACTAATCAATAGTCTTATTAATACTTATGAAGTCAAACGGAGTGAAGCCCGTGAGTAACAGCTAGTAATAAATAATAATGTTTGCAGGAAATAATAATTAAACCATTAGATAGGATATTTAATTTATTTTAAGAATGCCAACGGTGAATAACACGGTTTAGTTTAGCGGAAATTTTAATTCGAAACAGCGTGCGTCGCGTTTTCCCCTATCCCTCCCATATAGCTGCGGCTTTTTGCCACTCTACGGCTCCGCTTGCCCCTCTAGTGTTCTGCTATACCTGGCTTCACCGCAACCATAGCTGTCTATACTATCTATACTAGAGACGGCTATGCCGCAACACGTCCCTATTCACGTGTCCTCTCCTTAATGTTTAATCCTCCTAGGTTGAAACGCAAACCTATAATTTGTTAGTTAGAATGGCACCAGTAGTGGGTATGTTACAGTGTTAAATAATTATTTTTTTACGAAAACTAAAAAACAATATTGTTGATTTACTTACCATGAGGAATGCGGGAGCCAGGACGTACCAACATATTTTCCAGTAGTAACCAGGGGCAAACCCTATCATGTCTTTGATATCATCACAGAACCTTTGTGTGCCATAGATCCAGGAAACTGCGATTGCCTCAAACAGAACGGCAAACAACATGGAGTAGCCGGCTGCGTAACGGTCAAGCAGGTGGAAGAAGTAAAACCCACCCTTGGCAACAATAGAACACAGAAATCAATCATGGGGTCCTTCTCTGCAAATTGAGCTTGTAAAATTGTATCATCAATGTTATTACAACCTGATGTTAATACCTAATGTTATTACTGAGGCTTAAATACATTTAGTTTTTCCTATATATTTTGTTAAAATTTTACACAATATTGAACATAACTAAAATTTTTTGTTGTCTCGTAAAAAATGTCTAAGGCCTACTGCACACGAGAGACTTTTTGTCGGCTGACTGTTGGCCATCTGTCTGGCTGGAGTCGGGTGGACAATCGAAAAGTCGTCAAGACTGTTTGGTCGTTGACTATGGATGCGCACACGACACAACTGTTTAGTCGTCTTTCGAGTGTCAAAAGGATGACAGAAACCGCAGATTTTAGAAAGCAGATCTAAAGAACATCATTCTTCTTTTCCACGTTTTGCTTCCCGTTGCAAGGTACGGGTATAGCAGCTAGTATCGCAACCATTTAAATATTATAAATGAAGGAGTTACGTTGATTTAATCTGTCTGGAATGTTATACATGTTTATGTTTAAGCGTATATTTTTTGAACTGCGTTTCATGCATAGGTTACGATTGAGTGCCCTGATGTTGGTAAAATAATATAATTTTATCTTATAGCTTGCACTTCACATTAACTTTATTATTACACTTCGATAAGTTTAGCGATTGTGTTTTGCTACACCGCTGATCAAATTTAACCAATTAGAATATACAAAAATAGGTTATTATTAAGGGTCTAAAACCTCTACGTTATTTTTGGGGAAATAAATAAACGGTTGCAGTTTGCTTGTTTATGGATCATATTTTATAATATTATAATTTCAGAAGATATTGATCAAATTTGGCAAATTTATTTATTTAATACTAAGCTCTACATATTTCAATTAAAAACACTTGGACGACCTATACAGTGTGATTGAAAAGTCCCGGAACGGGGTAATATATTTTTTCTCCTTATAGATAAAGTAATGAGACGTGGTTTTTTTATAATAACCATAAATGTTCACTCTTTTAAGCTCTTATCATATTTTATCCCATAAGGGGGGCGTGTGGTTGGCCCACGAGGAGTCAGACAAAATTCTTAAAAAGCAGCATAGGTCGAGTTTGGTATCAAATTAAAGGTCTTAGTTGGTAAAACACATTACCCCACACGCAAACTCAAACGGACAACAGAGTAAAAAATTACAGCTGTTCAAAGATTTATTGAGTTTGCTATTATACGCTACTTCCTCAGGGATAGCCCGCTAGAATTCAGAAGAAAATCATAAACTTATGCATAGGTCGTTATGCACATCAAATTAAATGTCTTTATTAATAGAATAAAATGCTGAATGTTTTTCCCAAAAGAACAAAGTAGAAAAAGAACTGAGTAAAAAATGGCAGCGATTCAAAGATTCAAAATGGCATATTCAAGAAATACATAGAAGAATTCAAGAAATAGAACAGGCCTAGACAATAGTGTATGGAGCCAACACGATACTTAGACCTTTGATGTTTAATGAGTTACTGACTTTGGACAGGAACAGCTTGGGGATTACCATACCACATCGAACAGCTGCTCGAGTCACCGATGTCAGCTGTTCTCAAGACGTCTATCTATACAAGTTACTGATCAAAAGGTTACAAGGAGAATCAACAAATCATGCGTCGTGAGAATGAGGTTTTACAGTTTGCCAGGCACATAAAAAAAATTCTAATAGGATTTATAGTAAAAACAACTGTACAAGTAAATGGTAACAAACTTTAGGTTGGTACAAAAAATTATAGCTTACCTGTGCACATGAGACTAAGCCAACAAAAAAGTAGAGGGTGAATAAACACCCGACAAAAATCTCTCTGTTGCGTCCGATGAGGGGAAATTCATCACTCAGAGCAGTAATGATTGCCTCAGAGCCACCAAACTGAAAATACACAATTTTCAGTTATTAAAAAATTTTAATTAAATTTAATATATTTTATCTTAAATTAACCTTACATGTTGAACTTTTTGTAAAAACATTTGAAATGTTTGTAAAACAACTTGTTGAAACAACTTGTGTAAAACAAACATTTCCGCACGTGAGAGGTTAACTTTCTGTTTTATGTACAATGGAAAGGTAACTGTGTCTATATTTCGAGTTTCCCTTACTTAATAGTAATACTCTGTGTGTAAAAAAAATGTCTGCAATTGGTATACTGTAGTCTGTATGATGAAACCTCTCTTCTGACCTTTCAGTCTACCTAGGGACTGGCCAATGGCTTAAGGCCCGGGCCAGTCTCAGGTAGGTGGAGGTTCAGGAGATTTGTTTTATCATACAGACCATAATGCATAGTTGGATAGAGAGTACGGGAAGCACTATGTGTTCTCATAACTTGACACTCACAGCTTTTAACAAAATTATGTCTAAAAATCGAATACCAATAAAAAATGTAGTAAAAGTCTTTTTAATTGTATTTAAATAGGATTACAAATAAGGGTCCTTAATTAAGTAAACAAATTCCTTACCGAGCTGTCAAGTCCAAGAGTTAGGAGCATCATGAAAAATATGAGAGCCCAGAATATGGAGCCAGGCATGGTGGCAATAGCTGCTGGGTACACAATAAACACAAGTCCTGGTCCCTCCGTAGCCACCTCCGAGATGGGTTGCCGAGACACGTGTGCCATGTAGCCCAGCACAGCAAAGATGACAAAACCTGCAACGAAACTGGTGCAGGAGTTGATAACGCTAGTCAGCAACGCATCTCTGAAAAAGTGAAAGAGTTCCATCAGTAATGAATATTCTATCAGTAGGTAAGTTAGATCTGCACATTGGTGATTTGTCTCTAGGATACCTTCCAGTGGGTTCAACTGCATAAAATGTAACATAATTTAATAACTTGTCAAAGGTAGATGTTGAGTCTCATTTCTATTTTTGAAATCAGGGAAAAGTTTTGTGAAAATTATCATTAACTAATGTATATAAAATTGTAGCAGTACCGGTAACTAGTTTGGTTATTATCATAGTTATAACTAGTTGTTTCCAGTTAATTAACTACATTTCAATGTCATTTTAATAGTTTAAATACAATTTTATCTTGTCACTACATAATAAATCAAAAGTCAATACTCAATAGGCTACTGTTTTAATAAAGGTTTTAACAGAGTACACAATACTGCCTGACAGAACAGTTAACATTTACATCTTACTTTTGACATGTTAAAGGTGAAACTCTTTCCATACGATTTTTTTTGCAAATACTCTAATAACATCTTTAACCAGAAGACCTTGGTTTCGTTGTTTTTTCACCATTATTTTTAGTTAATCAAAAGCGCGGTATGTACAATGCCCTATGCTCAAAGCAGGGCTATGGCAGATAAGACCAACTTGTTCAAGTGTCTGTCCTTGAATTTTTGTGATGGTCATGGCAAAAGCAATTTGGCATTGGAACTGCAGATGTTTGAATTTCAGGAGAAAATTACCCTCTGACGATTCTAAACTTAATTGGAATAATAATAGCCTACTCGTTTTCCAGCCCAACTTGCAGTAATCATTTTCATATTTAAGACTTTGTCATTAATCTCTTTCACCATTATTCTGGTTCCATTAACCAGTCCTTTTTATGAATTTAAATTTCTTAGTAAAATTACAAATCCATCTTTTTACAAACATAACTTGTGAGACATAACCACTTGGTGCTAAAGTGTGGAGAAATTCATCAGGGAAAAGAAATTCAGGGGGGGTCTTCCTCTTCTTGAATCAAAGTGTCCACTGAGTAGTAAACTCTACTGTCATTATTTATAGTTGATTAGCTATTTTATAATTAATTTGGTCACCATGTTCATTCTTTGGTTAAATTAGTGCATGATTTTTGTCTTTTTAAGCATTTTGAGAGAATCCTTCACTGAAGATTTCGTCAATGATATTTTTATTTGCAATACATTAAGGTGGAAGACTTATCAATGTCTCACAAAGACCATTACGGTAGCTCTCTTGGCCATTCCTTATTTGTAAAAGATATTCAGAAATATTGATTTCCTTGGATTTGCTCTCATAAGCAAGTGAAACATTTTTAAACATTGACCATAAAGGTGATATAACTATTGAATTTTCTACCATTTCGCAGCGACTCGCACCAGAGACTATGGTAGCTCATTGCTAGGAATTACCTCCAAAACCTTTCCACCAAAAGGCTTTGCTTGGCCTTCTCTTCTGGCGATATCTCGCAGTACTTATTCTACAGACGATAAAGCGTACTGTACGCTAAGATCTCCTAAGTCAAAATAGTCTGTTTTGTGACAGCATCTGTCCGTGCAATATAAGAAAAAGTCAAGCGGTCTCATAACATTTCTTTGAACTTCAAAAACCAGCATAGATAACTTTTCACAATTTTATTATCATACCATCTCTGTTGTTAATACGTCGCCGAATCGCAAACACGGGATTGTTTCTTCTAGGTAGAATTTTATGATAATCAAAATTAAAAATTGGAAAACACAACACATAAAAATATCTATGAAAACGTTAAACACACCATTATCTGAAAATAAAATACAATCACATAATGAAATAGACTGGTTTTTACTCCCTATGAATGAAACTGCATAAATAAACTATCCCACCTCTTAAGTTATCATTGTTAATTATTGAAAGTAAACTGATAGGTAAACAGAAAAAGTAAATATTAAAATTACAGAAGGGAAACAGGATATTTTTATGAAGACAGATGTTTTATTTTAAGAAATGAATCAGTAATCTTAACAAATTTTGACTTGTATATTAAAACTACATGAAAACTTTAAAGTCCAATGGAGCAAAGCACATTGAACTGAGCGTGGCAAAAGTTATTCCATGACTTCTACAGAGAATCCCCTTTAATTTGACACCTTAATCATCAAAATCGGTTCATAAATAAAAGAGTTTTGGTGCGCACAAGAAATTCCTTACGGAATTAGAATAATAGAAGATGGGGGTTTAGAAAGGGAATAAATCACCTCAGTTCTGTTACAGAGGCCAAGTAAACAATAATTTTAAATGAAACTACAATTTGGATAGCTATAAATTTACCAACTTAGCCATTATAATTTGCTTAATTAATTTTCTACTCAAACATGTATTTCCTTAAACAAATCAGATTTATTCTCTATCCAAACAACATTAAGCTCAACAGAATACTTAGGTTTACTACTATAGGAAATGAAATAGTATATTTCGTACCTAGGGCTGTAAAAGAGGTTTTGCCAGCTCTAGATCATTTTTAAGTTCAAGACGAAGTATAACAATCGAAAGTGGCAAAACCCTTTCGGCCTGTGGTACGAACGCTATTTTCACTACACTATACAAAATTGTGAAAATATATACAATACATGCACAGCACACTAACACAACTACAACCTAAAGGTTATGTGAAGAGATGTTCAGAGGAATCAACAAAAATCCTTATATATAATACGTGAAGGCGATTTCTACGAAACACTATTCCTTTGTTAATAATGGACGGATTTTTACAAACGATGTGTCAAAATTAAGTATTTTTTGTGTAGACGCCCCCTTTCACTAATTTCTGTAATAAAACTCCTCGGGCTTTGCCCCACAGGCCATCAAAATACCAATGTATTTCTTATGAAAAAATATTTTGTTTACTTATACAGATGAATAATTTGTATTATTTACATAGCTGTTCATAGTAAACACATGATACACTCACGAGGGTTCTTTTTCGGCTTCGATAACTGGATTGGAGTGATTGATTACATTATCTTCGATTCGAGTTGACCATTTCAGTAATCAGAAATTATGACTGTTATTTGTTTTGAAATAACACCTGTAATACTTTGCAATTGCTCAAATTCGAGCAACAGGTGCACTAGTAAGTAGTAATAATAAATTGTTGCCAAGCAGCAGTGACAATAAAAAAGTCTATTGTAATACATAAATGGATACTGCTTGTGTAATTAGAATAGGGATAGACAAAAAGAATTAAATATAGACTGGCAGCCGTGCTGCGGTTACCATGGTTACCATAGGTTCTGGTGCACACAGCTTGGAGCACCGAATAGTTAGGTAGCGCATACACCGTAACTACATGGCGCTCCAAGCGGTGTGCGTTAGAACCTATGGTAACCGCAGAACAGCTGACGGTCTATATTTAATTATTTTTGTTGTAAAATGGCTAAAAACATTGTAGTGTTGCAAAAAGGTGTTTTTCTTAGCAATTTGTTAATAGTTTATTATAAAATAAATAAATTTTCCAATTTAGATCAAAATAATATATCCATACAATCCATAGCAATTTACACCATGATAAATATTAGGAAAATCCGTTATTATTTTATAAAGCATAAAATGAGTTGTAAAGAAGTTAAAAAAGGATAACGTCATATGTGTTATATATAGGGTTTCTTTTCTTAATACGCCGTAAGTTACACATGTTTCATAAAATTAGTTAATACTGCTTTCCACTATCCTTTGAGCTTTTAATCAGCCCTTTATCCCCGCAGTTGACTAAAAATCTGTTTATCCTACTATATATAATATGTAATATAATAATTTATATAATATTATAAATGTCAATGTATGGATGTTTGTGTATAACTCTGAAACCCACCACGTGAAAAATACTGGACCGATTAAGTACCGACTGGTACTTGATCTTCATAGCCTTGAGAAACACATAGTTGTGAAAATCCTATGGGGCTATGCCCCACAGGGGTTCATGCGTTCAAAAACACCATCCGTTCAAATTCATATATATATATATTATATACAGGGTGTCCGGTCATAAGTGTTAAATAAAATTTTGCATCAAACTACATGGTAATAGCGACATAATGACGCACATTTAAGGTTCCCAACCCTAACCGTTAGGGAATAACAAATTAATTAAGGTTTTTAAAAAAATATTGTAGTTGTTATGAAAAAGGTTATATTACTCTGTTAAAAATGCACTAATTGTTAATTTAAATGTAATTTTCAGAATCCTCACAAAAGCTCAAATAGATATAACACATAATCGTTGGGGTACGGAAAAATATTCTTTTTAAATTTCTTCGTTAAACAATTATTTTTAATATCCACGAAAATTTAAATAGCATTCAGCTATTTATTTCTCGGTTACCTAGTTCCGCTGAGTTAAACAAATATTACTGAAAACTTCCTTTTTTAAAGGGCTTTACAATGATGTATACTACATTTATCTACTGTCAAATCTATGGTGAATTTTATTTATTATTTTGGCACTATTGTGAAAAATCACGGTTAAACCAAAACAGATATTGTAAAAAATAATTAATTTTACTTACTATTTTATGAGCTGACCACTGATGATGAGGGTTTGTGTAATTTATGATTGACCAAACTACACTTCCATCAAACTAAAGAGTTTTTGTTTAGACTTTGGAAAATTTGTTATTAAAAAACAAAATACATTAGTAAAAATACACAATAAAAATCAAATCAATGACATACTTCATCCGAAGCACAACTTTTGTTAAGGTGGAATCACAGTTTGGGTGTAAAGTGCCCTCCGTTTTCCGGCAAGCAACGGGCTCAAGTCTGGAGATCGAGGAGGCCATGTCACACTTCCTCCACGTCGACCACGTCCAATCCATTTCGGGTAGTAATAGCCACAACCGAACTTCCGCGAGTTAATTGAAATCTTATCTGAAATATGAAAAATATACGATAACCATAACTTTAGAAGTTTAAGTTGGATATTTTTCCGTACCCCAACGATTATGTGTTATATCTATTTAAAATTTTGTGAGGATTCTGAAAATGACATTTAAATAACCAATTAGTGCATTTTTAACAGAGTAATACAACCTTTTTCATAACAACTACAATAATTTTTGGAAAGCCTTAATTAATTTGTTATTCCCTAACGGTTGAGGTTAGGAACCTCAAATGTGCGTCATTATGTCACCATTACCATGTAGTTTGATGCAAAATTTTATTTAACACTTATGGAAAGTAAATAAAAGAAACGTCTTATAACACTTAAAACATATATTTACGCTTATACTGCTACTCACAAGACGGTAAATATACAAAACAGATGGTAAGTGGTGATCGATTTCGATTGGACACTCCAATCATCATCAGACCCAATAGGCGAATGATGTCTGATGATGATTGGAGTGTCCAATCGAAATCGATCACCACTTACCATCTGTTTTGTATATTTACCGTCTTGTGAGTAGCAGTATAAGCGTAAATATATGTTTTAGGTGTTATAAGACGTTTCTTGTATTTACTTTCCGTAAATTTAATAACACGTACAATGCTGATCAAGAAGATATTTAACACTTATGACCGGACACCTTGTATATGTGTGTGTGTGTGTCTGTTAGCACGATAACTCAAACAAAAGTGATCCGATTTTGATGAAATTTGGTATAAACATGTAAACCTACATTTATTCGAAGGAGTTCGCAAACCAGCATGATTGGACCATGGGAACGGGGGTTTATGGGGATTTTTTTGGGGTAAAAATGGGGTTTTCCCATTTTTGACCCTAAAAACAAAAAATTTTGGAATATCTTTCTCAACCATTTTGTAGAGCTTAGTAAAATAATTTAGTATATTGAAGCATTGTTGTATGTCTAATAGTTACAGAGAAAATTCACAAAAGTGTAAATTTAAATTTTCCATGTTATTCTTATGGAGAAAATGAAAACGGTTGTTGTTTACTTGTTTATGGATATATGTTGATAAAATTTAATTTATTTATTTCATACTATATTATTGACGTTTGGTCAAAAACACTTTTTATGTACCTTCCCCATAGCTGCAAACCTAAGCACTCGTTAAATCTAATGCTATTTAAATTAGGAATAAATATGACTTATTTATGGAAATATTTTAGTAAAAATGTAATCAGACAAGTGGAAATTCACTTAGTCTGCAGGTTTGCTGCGGCGGGGGTATTTTAAATTTATGACAACAGCTAATTTAAACTAAGCAGAAAAAAACTGTGATACACAATGAGAACTGTCAAAGTAGGATAGTTTACAGTTATGTTTATGTTTTTATTTAATAAATAATTTTTTTTTATATAACAATTTTATTAACCGATCAGCATTACATTGCTATACAGGTTAGGTATAATATAAGAAAGAAAAAAAATAACATTATTAATTACATACACATAGGTAGAGGTCAGCTATGGCTAGCCCCTCAGGCACTTATTGTCACTGTTTTAGCGGGTCGGACTGTAAAGGCACTGTCCACCAAATGAAAAAAAAAAATAGTTATAATAAAACATCTTGAGGCAATCTGGTTTTTAGTCGGAGTCTCTGGATTTCAGAAGGTTGGCCTGTGTTATAAAATCCAATGCTGCTGGTTAATGAAAGTTTTGTAAATAATTTTGATGTAACTTTCTTGATGAAATCTTCTATAGGTTTTATTCCCAGTTCTAAATGTAGGCCTATTTGACGGGTTCGAAAATACCAGGGACATTTAAGAATTATCCTTAAAACTTTATTTTGAAATGTTTGCAGTTTACGAATCGAGCTTGATGAAGCAGTTCCCCATACTGGGCAGGCGTATAACAATAGTGGACGTAGAAGTGTTTTGTATAAAAGGGTTCCATTCTCAATAGACATACATGATTTCTTGTTGATTAAAGGAAACAATTTTGATAATCTGCCATAAGCCAAATTTAATTTTTTATTAACATGAAATTTCCAATTTAACTTTCGGTCGAAGTATACACCTAAATATTGTATTGCTTGGTCACACTGGTCAGGAGGGTTCCATGCAATCTGTTCACCTAGAATTTCTAAATTTGGATGGCCTAACTGTTTTCGGAGGGTAAAAATCTTCGCTTCACTCTTCATCGGATTTATGGCTATTCTCCATTTTGTGAACCATTCCATCAAATCGTTGAAGGAAACTTGAATGTTATTGGTCACAACTTCGATGTCATGGTGTGTAGAGTAGAGTAGGGTGTCATCAGCAAACACGGCTGTTTGGACATGGTTTGACAATGGCAAATAAGAAGTGTAAATGTTATATAATAGAGGTGAAAGAATTGCGCCTAGTGGGACTCCGGCTTGAATTGGTCTGGCAGTTGATAGGGAGCCATCAATATATTAACTGAAAACGTTCTATCTTCAAGGAAGCTTTCAATAATTCTCTGTAGGTAGGAGGGGACTCCGAACTTTCTTAGTTTAAACAATAAACCATCGTGCCAAACACGGTCAAAGGCCTGACTTACATCAAGAAAAACTGCATCAGTATGACATTTTCTTTCAAATCCTTTTATGATGTCTTCAGAAACTCTTTAAAGTTGATGTGTCGTGGAATGGTGGGAGCGAAAACTAAATTGATGAGGAGGTATTAGGGAAGCACTATCTACATAGGAGTCTAGGCGTTGTTTAATGATTTTTTTCAAACAATTTAGACAATGTGGGGAGGAGGCTAATCGGGCGATAACTATTTACTTGCGATGCAGGTTTTCCAGGTTTATGGATGACAATAATGAGAGAATGTTTCCACATTCGCGGGAAGTATGATTTTGTGAGACAGGCATTGAACAGAGAAGCAAGGAAAGCAAGTCCTTTTCGTGGTAGATTATGTAAAATAATGTTAGGTATTCCGTCGTGTCCAGGAGTTTTCTTGATTCTTAGCTACTTGATGAAGTTAGAGATTTCAGATGGAGAAGTATATTTAATTGGCCGTTCCACCGTGATAAGTGGGCAGGAATTAACTGTGGCAACATGAGCTGAAAATTCAGGGTCTTGAAATTCATCATTCGGACGAAATGAACGCTGATAGTAATCGGCTAAAACATTAGCTTTGTCTGTTTTGCTTTCATATACCTGATCATTGTTTATTAAACTGGGTATTGGGGTGCGTTCTTTCAATATTCGTTTAGTTGGGAGTTTGTGATAAATAAATAAATAATTTGTGATAAAATGTGAATGTTTGATCATCTGCATCTGCTTTTTTATGTTGTTTAGGTACAGTGGTAGAACATTATGGCTATGGAAGATGTGTTATACTATATCATATCGTAAATTTAAAGAACAACATTTTCTCAAACTGTGTCCTCCCCCATTGGAAACGCAGAGCACATGTATAACTACAATAAGCATTGTATTGAGCCAACCCTGTACGAAAGACGGGTAACTTAGTCTGCTAATAATCATCGATCTCTATTATTAAAACCTAATAATATTTATCGCAAAAAAAATGACAAATCCTTATTACTTACTGGTAAACATTGTTATGATACTCATTGTATGATGCGTATGCTAGAAGAACTCCAAAACCTGGACCCAATGAGAAGAAAACCTGTGTTGCTGCATCCACCCACACCTTCAAAACAAGAAATCAACCATGAACATGTTAGATTATTATGCTCAATGTACAGTATTAGCGAATTTCCTTATAGGGAAGTAGCTATTACCGTAGGTGGTACGGTAAGACCTAGGCCCGGGACCGAATATGTGTCTGTGAACGCGTTAACTTAAGTAGTTTTTTTTCTGATTTTGATGAAATTTGGCTTGAAGGTGTATGGTGGGATAAACTTGAATGAGTTCGCGAACCAGCAAGATCAGACCATGGTAACGGGGTTTTATGGGGTATAAATATATTTCCCTAATTTTTGACCCTAAAAACATAACATTTCTCCATTTATATCCAAACCATTTTGGTGAGCTTAGTACATTGAAGTGTTTTTGTACAATTATTGGTTACGGAGAAAATTCTTAAAATTGTAAATTTAAAATTCCCATGTTATTCTTATGAAGAATAAGTAAACTGTTGTAGTTTGCTCTTTTATGGATATATCAAACTTTATTATACACTAAGCTATTATGTTTGACTAAAAACATGCTTTTTAACCTCCCTGTAGTAGCACACCTAGACACTCGTTAAACCTTATGTTATTTAAATATATTTAAGTGAAAATCAAATCAGGCAATTGGAACTTCGCTTAATCTGCAGGTTTGCTGCGGCGGGGTATTGTTTAATTTTGTCTTTTGCGGTGGGAATAAAGTTAAGGCTGGCGATCTTAAAATATGTTTATATAAACATATTATGGTATAGTAATATAGTTTATATAGTAAGTATTTAGTATTATATTGTAAAACCTAACTAACTCGACAATTTGTGGACCCAGAGGTTGCCAGTTATCCAGAACAAGACATTTTTTATGGGTTTCAATATATAAATACATGACAGACTAATTTTTACATACCGTACATTTATTACTTACATTTGAGTATTTTTGCATAATTGAATAAACACTCTTTAAAAATGTCAGGTATTCAACTATATAATAACTAAATGTTCTGCCATTTTTTTATTTTTTGCATGTGGCCTGACAGTTGTTGACTGTCGAGTTACCGGGTTTCAATTTATTGAGGTCTCAATCTGGGAGTATCTTAAACATTTAATCCCATTTAAAAACACGTTTAGTGAGTACTTATTTGCTGCTACAAAGAATGTCAGAAAATGTGTTTTTTTATTTAAATGTTAATAACTTAGCTTGTTATGAAATAAATAAAAGTTAACAGTTTGATTAAATATATATAAACAAGTAAACTACAACAGTTTACATATTTTCCTTAAGAATAACATTGGAATTTTAAATTTATAGTTTTAACGAATTTCTCTATAGGGAAGTAGTGATTACCGTAGGTGGCATGGTAAGACCTAGGCCCGGGACCGATTTACTTTTTAATTTTGATGTCCCTAGAGGCTAAAAACACAATTTGATCAAATTTATGTGTATATATACATATATATATGTGTCTGTGAACACGATAACTTGAGTAATTTCTGTCCGATTTTGATGAAATTTGGTTTGAAGGTGTAAGGCGGGAAACCTTGAATGGGTGTGCGAACCAGGATGATTGGACCATGAGAACGGGGTTTTACTGGGGGTTTTATGGGGTAAAAATTGTTTTTTCAAATTTTTGACCTTCTAAATACAAAATTTCCCAATTCCTATCCGGACCATATTAAAGAGCTTAAAAAACGAATAATTTAGTATATCAAAGTGTTTTTGTACAATTATTGGTTACGGAGAAAATTCAAAAAATCCTTATTTTAAAATTCCTATGTTATTCTTATGGAGAATATGTAAAATGTTGTAGTTTGCTTGTTTATGAATATATTTTGCTCAAACCTGGTATTTATTTAATTTTATACTAAGTTAATAATATTTTATTAAAAAAACACACAAGTAAAAAAAAAACACCCTGTATTAGCAAGCCTAGGTACTCATAAAACCTAATGTTAATTAAATAAATTTAATTGAAAATCAATTCAGGAAAATAGAAATTCGCTTAGTCGGCAGGTTTGCTGCGGCGGGGGTATTTTTATTTTTCTCCCTAATTATTAGATGTAAAACGATACAAAATGATTATTGAGCGGAGAGAAGCTCTTATACCACACTCCTGCTTTAGTTTTACAAATACTCCTCCTGAACGGCTGAAGCGATCTGCACCAAATTTAGCACAATCGTAGTAACTAACCAACCATGGAAAGGTATAAATCTGAAATGGTACAAATCGGACTACAGGGCTTTTCCCTACGTGAATTTAAAATTTTGGAATTTAAACATGGGCCTTATGGGTAAATTGGTTGCCATTGCATTATTTGCGAGATAATAAAAAGGTAAACAAGAGTCGCAACATATATTAGTCAACGAATCTATATAAATAAAATTACAGTTTTGTCTGTACATTGCTTAGAATCATGCAGTTTTTGGTTATTTTTACATTTCATAGCCTAAGAAAGCCAAAACGAGTCTTATCTCAATTTCTGTCTGTCTGTCTGTTTGTCTGTTTGTCTGTTTGTCCATTCTGTCATTCCTGTGACGCCAAAATGTCATTTTACGCGGCCCACTCCTAGAAATCTAGAGTACCGATCAAGGTTGTAATCATTTTTCTGTATTTCCTGGATTGGTGAGAGTGTTTTTGGCTATAAAAACATGGCCTCGCTTCTTTGAAAACAAAATAACGAACCAACAAAAACCCAATTTTGTTAGATTTTTGTCAAATTTTCTCCCAATGTTTACTATTATATTTTATGAAATAACGATCAGCGGTTTGGATTAGTTCTCACTTCTAGCTGTCTACATATATGTTTACATTAAAAGTTGTTTACAAATACTGCAACCATTTCCGATAAAGTTTTGTTATCACTAATCACATCCAAACCAAGTGAGATTAAAAACGTTGTGCCTTACTTAACCGGTTTAATTAATCACAAGTGCAACGATTGTTCTTGAGTTTTGATAACCGTGGAAAATACCGTGAATCAGTGTTGTATTAGTGCTGGGAAACTTACATTTTTTTAATCATCGTCACCAATAGCTTACAAATAAGGTTTCCACTCATTGACGGCGCTTCAAGGACAGTTGTGTAAAGTGCAAAGTAAAAAATCACAACTGCAGTGGATAATTCTGGATGTTCCTGCGATCTTGGAAGATCTTTCTGATTTCGCTGTGATCGTAACAGATGTTTAACTTACAGATGTAGCTAAGCTCGCTTTTCCAATGTGTCACTTGTTTCTACTTACTTACATTTCGACAACGATATCGGTACTTTTCCTACTTAGGAAGTAAAACTAACGTCCAAAACCCCAGATTTTTGCGTTTTTTGTCACATTTCCACCAAATGTTTGCTAGATATATGTACCGATTATCGTTTAGAGATTAGGTAATCTTTTAAATAAGAAACCTTTGTTTGGATAAAGGTTGTTTCTTCAAACTGTCATTAATATGTTAACTATAAAAGTTGCTTACAAATAATGCTATTAATGGGAAATAGCTTTGATTTTCGAAAACTTAAAAAAAAACCAAGGGAGATTAATGACTTCGGTACTGCACCACATCAAGTGAAAGTTTTTTTGAGCAAACCGTAGTGAGTTTTTAAAGCTTTACGTTGTTAACGTTACATGTTACATGTTTTGTGGCCTGTGTATTTATTTATTTATATATTTGCCAACGGATTAAAACCTATAATACGGTTTGATTAGAAGGACAGTTTGAATTGGTCGTAAGTACTATAGTTGTTTTCTTAAATGTAAACATTGGTTTTTGGTACTAATACTTTTCCTTAGAACCGGTGGTAGCAGTAAGAATCAGTATTACGAACAAACACATCACTATTTACAACTAAGTTTATAGTTATCGTTAGTGCTGCACCTTATTTCTTATTAAGTATAATTAATGTCTTATTACTGTATAATTTTTGCGTTTTCTGTCTGGACTCCAAAATGTTGGTTTATGCTATGATAATGATAAAACATTAGTGAGAGATTTTTTCAGCAAAGCATCATGAATTTTTAAAGCTTGGCGTTGTTAACGTATAAATGTTTTGTGGACTGTGTATTTATTTACTTATTTATATATTTGCCAACGGATTTACACCAACTTTACAGTTTGATTAGGCCTAAAAACGATTATCATAAAATTTGATGACACTATCAAAACTTTCAAATAATTATTTTGTTTGTAATTTTCTTTGGTTAAAGCGTAGCAAATCCCCTAATTCAATTCTGTATTTGTGTGTGTCTGTTGGTAACGCATTAAAGTCCTTATTTCTCAGTGTTTCGTGGAAAAGACAATTGTTAATGAAAATTTCAACCAGAATAAAGTGTGCATTGGGTAGTACAAAGTGTGGTTGAGGTAGTATTTTAACTACTTTTAACCAGTGTGAAAAGTAACTTTCAATAATTACAGGCCTATCTTTTAGGGCTATGCGTCATAGATCTATAAAGCAATTCCTTTTATCATTATAGTCCTCGCCACCCTGTTGAGGCAGCCAATGGCCGGACTAGATATACGCCGTGCGGCCTTGGGCTGCCTCAACTTAGGGTGGCGAGGACTCTGGACTATAGATATAAAATATGGACTAACACGGTCGGGGGACATTTAATTGCGAAGCATTAATTTTGGCTTTGAAACTGTCAGATATTGTATTTGCGAAGGTTTTTATGTACCTATTTCTATACAGTAATAGTTTTGCCAGCATATCTGGAAAAATGTACACTAAATAAATATGCAAACCAACTCCTGTTCTGAATATAAGGTTTCAACTTACTACAAGATTCCCGTAGGTACGTAGAACGGGCAAACAGCTAGTCACCAATATAGCCTAGTCATATTTGAGAAATAACCTAAAAAAAACTCTTATAAGTGTAAAACTTGGTACGTATATAAAATTTTACTTCCGGAATAACATACTAAAGGTCCTCGAAAAAAACTTGTGCTACGGCCGCCATCTTGGAAAATGGCGTCCAAAAACCAGTTTTCCCCGATTACTCAAAAACTACTCATCCTATAAAAAAAACATTAAACGTAA